TGTGTATTTATATATGTTGTAAATATATAAATATCCCATGTACCTTGATGGTAGACCTTCTCTTCCAGAGAAGTAACTGAGCACCGTGCCTCCGGACAGCAGGAGGAGGGATCCTCCCCAGCCAACGAAAATCGCAGCTCCAATTTCAAACCTGCACAGTAAACGATATTTTACTGTGATACTAGTAGTACAAGTTATAATATTCTCAGTGGCTCAAAAAAGTACTCACTTCTGTGCTCTGAAGTGTGGATCCAAGTACTCTCTGATGACCTTGTTGGCCCACCACGAGTACGTGATCATCCCACAGCACCCTAACAGAACATACTCATATTAATATACTATAATATAAACACAATATTCTCACTTGGTCTCACTTGTTGTTTACCTGACACCAGGTACGTGACCCCTCCTGCGAAGGTCACTCTGGCGTTGGCGATCTCCGAGCCTCCGATCTTCGTGCATTTCATCCCGACGAGGATGAGGACGCCTCCGAAGAAGCCGGTGACGACGGCACAGACCGCCAGCGCCCTGCAGCCGTGGAGGTACACTGAGAGACGACAGGCGGAGCAGATTATCCACGGCTATTATCTTATTGTGAAGGATTTAGATGTTTGTCAAAACACATCACATTTAAAATGAACTTATTTTACCTTTGTGAATTAAACTTCCTATAACTGTAATTGACATTTAAATATCTCTAATATAAATTGAGTTTAGAATACTCTTTTGTTTGAGTCTGTCGTTTCTGTATCACGCTGGGATATTTTTCACAGCTGGTGTTTTCAGACGTACCCGGCAGGCCCAGCATGGAGGGGTAGTCCTTGCAGTCTGAGACCCCCGTGGTGTCGGAGATGCAGTCCTTCCACAGGTTGGAGTAGTAGTTGGAGGTGGTCAGCACGATGCTGCCCACCTCGGAGAAGGTCCAGTACTCCGTCGGCAGCGTGGAGCACACCAGGATCCAGCCGCACAGGCACGACACGAAGGAGCCGATCTCCAGGTACATCACCACCGTCCTGTGCGTCATGGCGAGTGTCGGCCGTCTACGGAAAAACTAAGATCTGCCGAGAGGTCCGAGTCCCCAGCGAGAGGGAAAGTGGACTGACCGGTGTCTCTGCTGATATGGAGGCTTCACACCAGCACTGTGGATGTTTGCTTGTGTCTCATCTTATCTTTTCAGGAGTTTTGCCAACTCAGCATCTTCATGTTCCCAGGACTCAGGAGAGTGAGTCATTCCACCAGCGCTCAGGTTCAACTTACTCATTTCCCTTCAGATCCCAAATAACCCAATAAATAAAACATTCTGTTTTATTAGATGAAGCAGAGGCGCTGCTCCGAATATCAAAATATTTTATTACAGAAGACGGAAATCACCATTTCACCGTTAATTCTTCTTCTTATTGTTTTTTTTCCAGTTAGTTGATTCAGTGTTTCTACTTTACTTTACATAGTATTTCTACTCTATTTAATATTCTGACTTTATGTTTCCCTTCAGCTGTTGTGTCGTTACTGCAGTTTATTTTTATTTTTATTTTTTCACACCATCACAACAGAAGTCACCTCGTACACACACACGCTCCGGGAGTCTTTATTCTTTGGTGGGTTTTTTCCTGTGAACTCGTCCTTTTCTCTCATCAGGGAAACCACGAGATGTTCGCTGCAGACGGAGAAATAAAACACTCGTCAGAATTTGACCTGGAGCTGAAATTGATTCCGTTAACGAAGCGTTAAGTTAAAACACCTTTCTGGATTGTTTCCTCTGCAGACAGTTGCACAGTGAACGCCGCAGCCGAGGAACACCAGGAAACTTCCCGTCAGCCCGAGATACAGCGGCGTTCCAATTTCATATCTGAGGAGAAGAGTCAGAATGAGATGCTGTGATGCATTGAGCCGCATGTTATTTCTACGTGAGCGTTATTCAAAGAGATAAAAACGAACCCCAGCTCTGACGGATCTGCTTTGCTGTGTAGAAAAGCCGCCAACACTCTGTTGATGTATAAACAATAAGCAGCCGCGTCCGACAAACCTGCATGAGGGAGAGTCCATGATTCATGGAAACAAACCTGTGAGAAACTGAACCCAGAGAACAAAGATCCTGCAAGTGAAGCCACCTGGTGGCTGGATGCAGTATCAACCCTGCCTCCTCCATGTTAGTCATCTGAGACTGAGGCCACGTCCACATTAATTCATTTTCTCATCATCTCTGCGACGGATCCACCGGCGTCCTCACAGCTCTGGAGTTTCAGAGCGGCGAGACGCCACGTAGCCTTCACTGATTCGTCAGAGTCCCGTCACGTGACCCGCTAGAAGTACGAGAGTGTCATTTACAGTTCACACTCACAGCCCAGCAGATGGAAAGCAGCCGCTGTCATCAACAGCCCGTCTTTACTTCTCTGGTCGCCACCGACACGTGTGCACTCCATCCCCAGAAACGCCAGCACCGTGCCCATCGAGCCGAGGCACAGGCCGGTGATCAGCAGCCCCCTGACGGCCTGGACGTACGCTGGAGGACAAACACAGGTCCTGTGAATAAATTCTCATCGCGACTCGAGAATCAAAGTGTCTCGGCGGACGTACGTTTGACCGTCCACAGAACTCCAAAGTCCACACAGTTCACCAGAGCAGTGGAGTCTTCGTAGCAGTCCTTCCACAGGTCGGACCAGTACCAGGTTATCACCACCACAGAGGAGCCGGCTCGCCCCCCCGCCTGAGCCACTCTGAGGTCAAGAAAAACTTCAGTACATATAGATTCTTCTCTTTAGACCTTTTGAGCTCCCACCAGATAAAGATGAAGACGAAGAACTGAAACAGTCATAAAGATTCATTATGTGTGAACCAAAACATGAGTCATTTGGTTTGAAGACAAACCGGCTGTTTAACTTGTGTCCGTCCTGAGAGACGGGTCCTCCACTGTCTGAGCGTCAAAGCAAAACAAATTCAACGGATCATTCATCGATGTGACTCCTAATCTCTTACCTCCAGTGGTCCATAGCGAGCGTGCAGCCCACCGAGCCCCAGCCGAGTATCCACAGCATCAGACCCAGGATCTGAGCCGGTCTCCTCCACATCCTGGTGACTGGACGAGCTTCACTCATTCTACCAAAGGTCGTAGATGTTCGATTTCCCCTCCCTCGTATCGAAAGATTACAAGAAGATAAAGGTTCACCTTCAGATTAAAGCTGCGCACGTTCGTTCTCTTGCTGCTGCTCGTGTGTTTATGAGGGTGTGAACAGTGTTTACTGTCAAACACACACAGGCTGGTTGTGGAGAGGAGACGCAGCCTCACACTGATGAATGTCTTTATTATGAGACACGTCTTAGAAATGAACAAAACAGACAAAAGATTTAACACATTTATTATTTTTTAGAACAAAAAGATTTCATCGGTTTTTATTCATACAAAACATCCAGTTGACTCAGGACTCGGTTTGTTTCTCCTCAGATAAAAGTGTTTCTGATGAACGGAGTCGTCTCGCTCCTCGAGCCTCCGGACAGAGACGACACCGCTCGGCTGCTGCTGCTCGACTCGGACAAGGTCGGAACACTGGACCTCAACGAGAGGCCGGACTCAGACCCCGACCCCGACCCTGACCCTGACCCCGACCCCGACCCCGACCCTGCAGACTTGGTACTTCGCCCTGTCCTCGTCGACCGTCCTGACTTGGCCGAGCGTCCAGACTTGGACGTGCGCTCTGATCTTGAGGAGATGGCCGACACGTCCGAGCGCTCGGACCTGGACGACAGCTCGGAGACAGACGACACTTTGGTCTTCGACGTGATCTCTGACACCGATGACAGAGCCGTGGTGGACTTGTTCTGTTCTGGGTCAGCTGGCGGCTGGATTTTGATCACCCTGAACAGAGAGAGATGCATCATGGTCAAATGTGACAGAAGAGAGGATAGATTCTATCCTGTTCTATTCTATCATCCGTAAGTTGAGTCGAACATCTGCACGTCTACTCACATTTGTGTTTCTCCAAACAGCGGCGTGCACACGGACCACAGATAGAAAAAACCACCAGTCATGTGGAAAGCTGAGCCGACCCAGCCCAGGAACAGAGGAGTGCCCAGGTCGTACCTGTGAAACAGAGAAAACATTCACCTCATGTTTTACATGAAACACGAAGCGAAACACGAAGTGAAACACGAAGTGAAACCCTGAACTTACTTCAGTCCATCGAAGTCGGGGTTGAAGTATTCCACTGACACATACTGAGCGTAAACAGCGTAGCCGCAGACAGACAGAAAACCTGGAGACAAATACATTCAACATTAATTATTTTCATCTGTTCAGCAGGATTAAAAATAAAATATTGTATTTTTCATTAAATGATAATGTAGCTGAGGTTCACTGAAGAATTTAAAACGTCTCTAAAGATATTTTATCTGACCTGTCAATCAACCCTGGACCTGAGGAATTTAAAACCTCGTCCTGTGACTAAAACTCAAACACTTACCACCGACGATGTGGCACCATCCTCCAGCGTAGATCTTCTTGTACTTGGACCGGTCTTGTCCTCCGATGAAGGTGCATTCCATCCCCATCAGACTGAGCACGAAGCCCAGCATCCCCAGGCTGAGAGCCGCCATCAGCAGGCCCCGCACGATCTGGATGTGACCTGCAGGGACACGCACAAAACTGTGGAAGGATTCTGGGTGGGTGAGACGGACCAGAGGACCTGTGGGACCTACCCTCCACGGACCAGAGCACCGGGTAGTCGTAACAGTTGCTGACAGCGGTGGAGTCGGTGAAGCAGGATCTCCACAGGCTGGACCAGTACCAGGCCACCTTGATGATGGAGGAGCCCCCCATGCCCCCGATGGACGTGATCTTCCAGCCCTCCATGGCCATCGTGCACGCCACAAAGATCCAGCCCAGCACCGTCATCAGGAAACCCCAGATCTGGACCACACGGGTCTGCATCTCAGGGCCTCTCGTCGACTTCAGATCCAAGGAAGCTGTCGCTCTGTTGCTTTCACAGTTTGAATCCCGAGCCGAGTGTGAAGCTTTAATCCTAAAACAAGAAGACGTGGACGAGGCGTCGCTGCTCGTCTCAGAGAAGAAGACTGATCACAGGTACAGAGCAGGGGGGGGGGGTGCACATGTGGGTGAGAGGACAGTGTCTCTTTGGTTCCCACGGGTTAAGAACTGCTGTCCTCAGCACGTCTCAGGTTACAGGTGAGCTCATCCCTCTGAGGAGACGTTAAGAAGAATCTACAGCTTCTATCCCGGTTCTATAGAATCATCTGTGAGTTGAGTTCACAGTGAAATGTCCAAACACAATTAGATCTTAATTAAAGGGATATTCCACCAATTCATGACGAAGCAGAGTCAAGATAACGACTCTCGTCCCCTCGTGTCCTTAAAAAACTGGATCCTTCGAATCGAGTATAAATCACAAACATGAGTATTTTTTACTTTAGTGTCGATACAGTAATTTTATAATTTATAACAGTTCTTGAGATTTGACCTGAAGCTGCGTCCATGTCCGGCCCTCATGTGAAACGTGTAATAACTGAAGCATCGTCCTGGACGTCGCCTGCGGCCTTAAGCCGCTGGTTATTAGTCGTTTCACTGAGGGTCTCGTAATAACTCATTAGACTTAAATCTGAGGTAATGAGATTTACTGGGAGTGATGAATGTTCTCTGGGATGAAAGAGCTTCTCTTTGTCCTCTCGGCTTATGACTGAGTTCTTATTGGTGGAGCGGCAGAGCCGGGAAACAACGACAGAACAAAGACACGCTTATATGAGCCGACCAGTTTTTAATTAACTTACTAAACTTGACTTATCTTAACTTTACCTCCATTTATTTTAATGTGAACTGTTCCTTTAGTTTGTTTTTGTGTTTTCTATCTTATCTGTGAAATGTTCTGCAGATCTGTCGACCACAACACAGAGGAATGCTGCTCTCTGGTGGTTACAGGAGGGATGGAGGGATGAACGGATGGAGGGATGGATGGAGGGATGGAGCGGTGGCCGAGGCTTCATCCTTTTTCTGCAGAGGTCAGTAAAAGTCGTTTCTTCTTCTTGCAACATCTCATTTCATTTCACATCAGAGACAAACTCCTGCACACACATTTAAAAACCAGTTTTATTAAGTTGTAAAAGAAAAAACAGAAAAACTCAATACAACGTGGATATTTCAGGTATTCGTGTGCAGTATCATTCCTTCTGTTCTTCAGTAGAGTTCACCGAGGAAACACCCTGTGATGACTTTCCCCTCTCAGGCCACTAGAAGGTCAAATTCTTCACAATGAAATATTTTAATCAATTAAAGTAATCGGTACCAAATTGTTGAAAAATGTTCATGGTTCCCAGATGATACCAAAGTAAAAGTACACAGACTTTCACTAGAGAAAAGAACAGTCTGAAATGTAAACATTCTGTCGCACAATTTATAATTACACTTTTATTTTTAGTTGTAACCTGGATTTACATTAAACTTGTGTGAAAATATCGAGAGCGTTGCATCACGTGTGTTTCTGAATGATCTCTGATAACACAATACTACCTTTATATCAGGAGCTGGATACCTGACACTTATTTACGGATGCAGCGCAGGGCGACTCCCTGCCAGCTCCAGGCTCCAGCCTGTGGAGGTTTTGTGTAACATAGCCTGGGGATCCTGGTGATGATAATTCCCAGGTGGAGATGGATGGCTGATATGAGGGAAACCTCCGGCCTCCGGCTCCTGCTCAGGTCAGACGTGATGTAGTGACCCTCAGATCCTGAGACACATTAACGCTCCCTCAATCAGAGACGATAAACTGCAGTCACAGCTCATCAAGTTCTACAAAGTTACAAATCTTTTAATTACTTCATAAGAAGACATTTGCACAGTTTTGTAGTTTATAAAAACATGTGTCTAATAATAAAAACATTGGAAAAGTCCTGGCAGCTATAAATTATGTTTATAGAAGTTCTTCTCCTCTAATTATAATGAAATTAATGCTTTCAAATCTATAAATCATTTAAAATCTATTCATTCTATTAAAAATCTATTAAATCTATTAAAATCTATTAAAATCTATTAAAATCCATCCCTGACTAAAGAATTATTAAAAACAGATTGAATGAGGGACGCCGGCTCGTTGAAGGTGACCTCAGGGTTTTGGTGCCAAATCAAATTTTCCGCACCAAAACAAAAAAAAGCTGTCGCATGATTTATACATTTCCAGGAAGGATTTTCCCAGAGTTTCTAAAGTGAGCGTCTGTGCTTTCACTGTCGGGTTTCTTGTGACCACAGAATATTGAGATAAATACCACAACCATCAATGTAACTGAATAAAGTCCATTTTCACACGTAGGCGTTTCTTCCAAACTGCCTGGAAGGCTCCACCGTTTCCTTGTGGAGGCCGCCGGGCGTTCTGCTGCACTTGTTGCGCGCTGTGACCAATGAAGCCGCTCCGCTGTACGAATATTCAGCTCTGCAAAAAACCAGGACGAGAAGATTCAACTTGGATTAAACTTAAGACTTGGGAAGACACGTTGTCTCCGTGGACTCAACTAAACCAACTGAGGGAATGTTTGACCTTTGCAGAATCTGGAGCACTCAAGTGATGGGCGGAGCAGCAGGAGTTAGGACATGAAATGTACATGTTTACAGTGTTACAGTCAAATATGCTGTTTAATATATATTGGGGATCATCAACGTTTGTTCCAGTTCATCCTCTGTGGACAGAGACGTCATGATGATGATCATGATGAGCCCACGTCACAAAATGATGAGCCAGCAGAGGAGAGATCTGCTTTTCTCAGCCTGATGCAGAACTCCGCTGCTCTCAGTCAAGGTGACTTTCATTTTTTAAAGTCCTTATTGTAACAAAGGCAACATTGAGCTGAACTTATCAAAAGGACAATCATTGGTCCTGTGGGTTCAACAATCATGAGACAAGATGTTGACAAAGATAAGTGGAGGTTTTTCTTGTTGCACTTTAAGTCGTTATTTCAATTGTCTGCGTTTGCAGCTCAGCTCGGTTCAGTTAAGTCCCCGATGCCGATGACAGATGTGGGATCACGTGTCGGAAACCGAGCCACTTGCCTCATATTGAATCCTTCAGACAGCGAGAGGCAGAAAACAAGTCCTCCCAGGATGCACAGCACGGATCCTGCCCAGCCGATGAAGAGAGCTGCCCCGAGCTCGAACCTGCAGCGTGCACAAGGAAATTACACATCTGGGACTGGACTTCAATTTGTTTGATCGGCCGTCACACAAACACTTGAATCCTGAAGACTTACTTCTGGGCGACAAAGAAGGGATCAAAGAAGTCACTCGTGATCCTGTGAGCGTAAATGGAGCATGCAGTCATGGAGCACAGGCCTACGGAGGGAAACAAGAAGATTTCACCTTCAGCCTGAAATACAAACTGATCATACGACGTAGCTTTGAGGTGTCAGATTCCTAAAAGGCAGATTTTACCGCTGAGGATGAAGTGGAAGCCCGATAGGACGGTCAGACGAGCTTTGGTCGTCTCTGAGCCCCCGATTTTCGTGCACTTCATTCCCACTAGAGCGAGGACGGCCCCAAAGAAACCGAGACACACGGCGGCGATCATCAGGCCCCGACACACCTGGATATAGGCTTCATGACAGGAGGAGAGAGAGCCAGTGGTTTAAACATTTGTGTTATAAAGCAAGAGAAGAAAGAGAATCTGGTTTCACACAAGATAAAGAAATAAATGATAAAAAAAAAGATGATGTGACCCATCTGGGGACATTTTGGATTGTCCCAACCTCGAGTTGGAGCATTACTGCTTTCAAAACATCGAAACACTTTGAAGACGGCCTTTGTGTCATACAGTGACAAACCTGGACAGATTAGATTTTACAATCCCTCAACACACTGGAGAATTCTGCAGCTCTTGAGTCTGTGGCCTGTTTGTCACGAGAAGGAAATGGGATGTGACCGCTGCATGTGTGACTTTCTCAGATTGCTTCATTTGGACACATTAGGACGTCGTATCAGCCTCCGATGGCCTTTAGCTTTAAAAGTGTCCGTTGTTTACGGCCTGGAGTCGGAGTCAGAAAGAGGAAAGATCGAATTCCTAAATGCATTTGATCACAATGGTTGTCATTCATCCAAAAACAACAGGTATCCATCTTCAGTCAGATGGATTTTCACAAAGAGAAAGATGCTCTCAGCAGCGTTCACCACAATCCCACAACTCACCATCCAGAGCCAGCATTGAAGGAAAGTCTTTGCAGTTCGACACGCCAGTGGAATCAGTGACGCAGGTTTTCCAGAGGTTGGACCAGAAGGTGGCTGTGGTAATAACCGTCCCATCCACGGAGGACACCTTCCAGTAGTCTGTCGGCAAGGTGGACGACACCAGGATCCACCCAGAGATGGTCAGGAGGAAGGCGACGATCTCCGTTGCCATGTTGCCCATTTTCCCTCTGGCTCGGAGGTCCGGGCTGGGAGAGGATAGAAGTGTCAGAGAGGAGGTGGGAGGGTCGATGCTGGACAGGTACGTCAGCAGTGGCAGCTCTGCAGAGTTTTGCTTCTCTTTGACCTGCTCAGCCAAGCATCTCTGTCCAGGAGCCAACACTTTTCAATGCACATCATTCACTGACACACAATCAGATGTTGTGTGTTGTGTTTGGCGGGAGGGTGAAGGAGCACACACACACACACACACACACACACACACACACACACACACACACACTCGGGTCATCACTCTGCACGGTGTCCATGGGGTCTGCAAGGAGATCTGCAGGAGGAGGAAGTCTTTAATTGAAAGGATCTGAAAAGTCTTTGACAGAAGAGGAAGACAAGATTGGAGAGATTGTGAACGAATGACTGACGTGTGCACGTTTTCCACTTTTGTCCTCGGCACCAAATGAGAGCAGCTTTTGCAAAAAGGCAGAATGCAGTTTGATTCTACCTAAACTGGAGTCACACTGCTGCAGCGCTATCAAGTGGCAGGAAGGAGGAACTGCTTGTCTTTAACTGTATAAATTATAAGTTTTCTACAGACATTCGTGGTCAGAGGAGGAAACTCTGCTGGCTTTGGCGATCCCTCACTGTCGATACTGAAGGAGAACAAAGTGGGAATCCTCTCTCACAGTTAATTCTGTTCTTGTTCTAAGGGAATTTTTATCTATTCGGTTTTTATCAGTGTCGTATTCTGTTCTGTGCCTTCAAGTCTGAGCAGCACACTTTGTGATTAGGTTGTTCCTTTAGGATCACATGAGGTTTTCAGTTTAGAGACAGAGAAAGACCAAGTGGATGAGAAAACAAATCCACTGGTGACAAAGTTAGTCACTAAAACTTTTTAATTCTAACTTCTTCTGAATAGATGAAGCAGGTGAACAGGTAATAATTAACTTAATTCACAACCTTCATACTGAAAAACTCTGGTTTCCTCTGTTTAATTACCGAGGTTTCTCAAACAAGGATTAGATCTAAACTCTCTGGAGAACGACGGATTGTTTCCAGGGAAAATAATTAACAGAAAGATTTCCTGACCTCTTCTGTTTGTGACCCCCGCTGACCCTGTACCTGGGTTGTAAAACGTGTTCCCAGGTTAAGCGTTCACATCGTCAGCATTCCAGCAAATCCAAACCGGGTGTTTGACTGTTAACAGCAGCGAGAGGGTGCTGAGATCACTGCGCTGCAGATCCCCAGGCAGTTGAAGCCTGGATGTCGTGTTTCCATGGCTGCTGATGCTGCGTGATCTCAAGGGGATCCTGCTCCTGGAGATCTGCTGATGACTGAGGCAGCTGGCTGTTGTCTATGTGAACCTGTTGATGAGACCTCATTAAGGATGGGATGATGGGATGATGATGATCTGATGCCTGTTAGTGAAATCACTGCGGGTTTTTCCTGACTCTGATGTGGATGTGTTTTATTTTAGACTCCATTGTACTTTGTGTGAGTTAACACTCCAGACAGAGTCATCAACTTTAACTTTAAGAGTTTGTTCTTGTTACATTACAATTTTACGCATTTACAGTTTCTTTACACTTGTAATTTGACAGCTTTGTGTGTATGAGGTTTCTGTCTTCCCAACAATGACTTTATTCTTGTAATTCTTGTTTTCAGTATGTCCCTCACGCTTGTGTGCAGCGTTCTAAAGTGCATTATGAATTGTGAAAGTGAGTCTGTGTCCTCTTGACTTTTCCTGTAACTTTTTATGTTTGCACTTTAAAAAAAGGAACTTTCCTCTGTCACGTGTTTCCTCCCTCATCCACACATGAAGACCGTTAAATCAAATCGACAGAACATGGCAGCTTTTCACAGAACCTTAAAACACGCAGCCTGGATCTCGAGTGAAACAAAGGGAGCACTTCCTCTGTAGTTCTCTGTTGATCCCCCACAGTCAGATTCATGTTATTGGACTGAGTTCAGCTGCCTGTTATAAAGTCCTGCTGGCTTCTCCTCTTCAGCCCTTCTCCCCCCCGGTGCTGGCTAAACATCAACAGGAGGAAAACGTGCGGGGTGTGAAGGCCAAAGACCACTCCAGTGTTATCATTAGATTGTCTTCTCAGGATAATAGTTTACCTTGTTGACTTGTAACCGGATTTCTCTCAAACTTTCCATGCAAAGGGAAAAGGGAGGAGGAGGCGTCAGTTCTTTTATGTCATTTCAGGAAACACCTGTGGTGTGTCGGAGGACGTCTGTCATCTACAGCACACAGTTTATKCATAGTGAGTCTACATCACATGTCTCTGTTTGTGTAAGAGATCGGAAAGACACAAGCTCAAACACAATTTAGGTTAAAAAGATATTTTATGTTTTATGACTCGTTTCAGGCCTGGAACTTTAGAATGTCTCTCATCGCTCCACTGTGATGACGTAATGAGTCAGTGACTTTAATTCCAAACCAGGAGTGTGAGCATGTGAGATAAACTGACTCACGCAGAGACAGGAAGCTGAAGATTTCGCTGAGTAACCGTGACAAGTTTACCAAAGGTCATGGACAGAAGAGGAAGTTCACTTTGACACAGTGGGACGGTTGATCTTTGGTCAAATATTTAACTTTCAGAAATCTTTGAATTTTGGCTTCATGTCGGGGAGCTGTTGTGTCGTCCATCTTTATTTACAGTCTGCGATTTGACCACACGTTTAATTATGTATTATCAACAACACTTGAATACACTTGTCTGCTGCTGTTCGGTTTAGTCTTTCTAACTTCAGTAAAATGATTTTCTCCTTACTTGTGGG